GAGAGATGTATCTTGCACGGTTGGTGGCTCTGTACCCAATAGCATATTTGACCAATAGACGAGTTGTGATGGCATCGGTGTGAGTGTAATTAAGTATGTAGCGTCTTGTCTGGTCGAGCCCCTTAAGCATGTATTTAATTTTTCTGTTCGTTCTGGAATCTTTCCCAGGGCGCTGAAAATTTCTCTTGTTATCCAGTTTCAAGGCTGGTGATCCTACAAATGTTAACAATTTCGCGTTTTTTCAAAGATATTTGAAAGCATAGTCTCGGAGCGAATTTTGAGTTTTCTGGATAGCTTCAATGTTATGGTTTGATTTTCTTGCTGACCATTGTGTTGTAATTTGGAATAAAGATATACTAATGTGCACTTAAACAATGGACTTTATTTAATACTAATTGTGCCTTGACCGGTTTCGCCTTTTTTATAAGGCATCTTCAGAAGGCTTCCTGTTACAAAAAAATATATTGTTATAATGTTGTATTCTTAAAAAAGATTAAACTACATGTTGTCTGGTTATAATTAAAAAAACTTACGTCAACATATTACAATCAATAATTACACTAAATAACAAGAAATTATCACCAAATTATGACAGAATTATGCAGTACTATCGAATGATGAGTGATGGTCAGTGATGGTGAAAAGACGTTGTACATTTGTTGATATTTAAAAGAGAAAAACTTTGAGAAATGAAATTCGAGCGTCTTATTCTAGACTTAAATTCGTGTTCTGTATTAAATATTAGATGTTTTCCAAAATTAGAATTTTGTTTAGTCTTGTGTTCATAAATTCTTTGTCCCAGTCCCAAATTTACATTGTAATTTATATATTCCATTGTCGTCCAGTTTGTTAATCTTCTCTTTGTTGTTTATTATGTGTCTACTCTATGTGTTATTGTTTTTGCTAGTTAATTCCAAGTTGTATTTATTAAAAATTTATCTTATTTTCTCATTTATCTCGCCTTGATATTGTATGGTTCGATGTTAACCCGGTCTTCTTGGAGAGGTTGAATTTCTGGAGCTTCGCGTTGATGAATTTTTCTATTATTTCAGTTCTATTACTATTTCTTCTTGACTCATGTTGGAGGTGAGGGCTCTGTCTATTAGAGAATGGAACGCTGAAAATTTATGGGAATGTTCATGGTGTGACTTGTATGGGATTATTATATCGGTCTGAGTTTTCTTTCGGCATATATCGTATGCTAAGTGTTTGTCTTTCTTTTCTATAGTAAGGTGTAGGAAGTTTAGTTTGTTCCTTTGTTCGGTCTCCATCGTAAATTTGATGTTGTTGTGGAGTCCGTTGATATATGTGAAAATGTTTTCGATTGTATTATTTTCTGTGATCTCTATAATAGCAAATACATCATCGACATATCTCTTCCATAGTTTTATGTTTTTGGTATATGGGTTTTTGGGGTTGATTATCTGCTCGTTTTCTAATTTGTTGAGAAATATGTCTGCCATCAATCCGTTCAGTGGAAATCCCATGGGCAGACCATCTGGGAATGTATAAATATTCCCATTAAATGGATAAAGGTGATTTCGCTGTGGGTTTGTTCTTCGACATGTCGCGTGCGTTTGATTCGCTACCACTAGTGTACATCATGCAGAAATTGTATGCTTTGGGTTTGCGAGGCACGATTTTAAACTGGCTTTAATCATTTCTGGAGGAACGAAAAATAAAAGTGGTCCTCTCTGGTCGACTCCTATCGGAATCAAATGTTTTACTGGGAGTTCCCCAGGGCTAAATCATTGGGCCCATTAATTTTTCTATTGTATATAAATGATCTTCATGAGTGTCTTTCCGATGTCCACATAGTCATGTATGCCGATGACACGTCAATTGCCCTGCAAGTATACTATATATATACTATATATATATATATACTATATGCAAGTATGCTAAAGTCAAGCATACCGGTGAGTCATTTGATACTTGGTGCAAACAAAATCGTATTGTTCTTAATCTAAAGAAGAATGTGTTTGTAAATTTTCATAAGAGGAGAAGGCTTCCGCAGGCCGGTGATATCATTCTATCAAATAGCTGCAAGTTTTTGGGTATTTATCAATTTATGAAATTGAACTCTTCCTTTCATGAAATTGTGAAATTGAAGGGATGCTCTCTGTTATTCGCAATTCTCATACACTGTATTTATGTGGGCAAGATCGATGGAGTGGCGGCGTGTCTTTGTAGCGCAGAAACGCATTATAAGATTAATCTTCGACCTAAACTGCAGAGATTCGTGTAGAGATACATTCAAGGCCAATTCGCTTCTTATTTTTCAAAGTATATATATTTATATATACTTGGATGTCCCGTTAAGGGTACGGAGCGGTGAAGCCTAGAGGTTTGGGAAAAAAATCCTTATAGGCAAAGTGGCCAAGAGAAATAGCTGGAAATTATTTTGAAGTTCGTAATTCGACCGCTAGGGGGCTAGTTTTGAAGCAGTTCTAAGCTTGGATAAAGTGTGAACGAAGGTTCTAGCTAATAACATTTTTGTGCTCTCTTATTTGTTTCCTAAGGTAACTTAATCCGATTAAGATATACGAATTTTTAACATTTTCTTCTATAATTCAAGAATGGATACTAGATCTGACAGTTTGGTGTGCTTGGGTCATCATAATACGGCTTTCTTTGAAAAGAGTCCACAGTATGCTTTCTCAAAGCTCTATAATAATTTGCCATCTGCAATTAAAGCTAAGAGATCTTATTTCTACCAGAGGCTGTCTGGAGTCGCGCCGAGAACATTTTGGAGGACTATGAGGTCTCTCGGAGCGATTGATTCTCCGTCTGTCCAGATGATCTCCCCTGATCATCGATAACGTAACTAAGACGGCTACGATTAATGCAATGAGTTGCAATCGGGTTTTCGCAGTGGGTATAGTACAACTACTGCCCTCATTAAAGTTACTGATGATATTAGGTATGCCTGCGACAATAGATGTGTTACTGTGCTGGTACTGCTCGATTTCAGCAAGGCTTTTGATTCTGTCGACCACAGCCTTCTTTTAGCGTCTCTTTCTGCCTACGGATTCACTCCCCCCTGTGTCTCGTGGTTTCAATCCTACCTTTCCCATCGCTCCTTGTGCGTACGCGCTAACTCTTCCATTTCTTCTGCTTGTGCAATCAAATGTGGTGTTCCTCAGGGCGGTGTATTGGGTCCGTTACTTCTTTCTTTGTTCGTTAATAGTGTTACTAATTATATCTCGTGTAATTATCATTTGTATGCTGACGACCTCCAGATATATACTACTACAACTGTTACTGAATTTCCGGCAGTTATTGTGCGACTTAATAACGATCTATCTAACGTCTTGAACTGGTCTCGGAGATACGGACTTAAGTTGAACTCAGTTAAAACGCAAGCTATTGTGTTTGGAACTCGTCAATTACTTGGTAAGATTAATCCATCTACCTGCAGTGATCTGATGCTGGATGGTAATGTCATACGGTTTTCTAACACAGTTAAAAATCTTGGAGTCCTTATGGATTCTGCACTGTTTTGGAAACCGCAAATTCAACATGTTTGCAGAAAAGTCTATGCTTACTTCCACTCTTTAAACAGACTTCGCTGCTCTCTTCCTCCTGTGGTGCGTCGTAATCTTTGTTACTCACTTATATTTCCTCACTTCGACTATGCGGATTATCCCGGTCTCTCGGTGACTCTTCTGAGTAAATTGCAGCGACTACAAAATAATTGTATCCGGTTCATATTTGACCTAAATAGATATGAGCATATAACGAAGTATCGCAATTACATTCAGATGTTAACCTGTGAGAGACGTAGATCCTTTCGTTTATTAACCATTTTATTTAAAATCCTTCATAACTGCACCCCAAAGTACTTATCAGATAGGTTCCAGCAATTATCAACTCATGAGCTTGCTACTCGTTCATAGCACTGAAATTTATCATAGATCATTTACAGTACAATCGATTGCGCTGTGGAATGGACTACCTTCTGAAATTCGTAATATTTCTAGAATTACTAATTTTAGACATGTTTTAAAGAGCCACTTGCTTGCCCTTCAACTGGCTGTTTCCTGATTCTTTGTTCTTTATCTTTCTCTTTTCTCCTCTCTTCAACTGCTCTCACTTGTTGGCAACTGATATCCGGCAGATTCTTTTGGTTTCTTTTAGCCGCTCTCTTTTCGTGTCATTTCTTTATTTCTCTCTTTGTTTTTCTTTTTCTTGCTTAATCGTATTTGGTGATGTTAATGATATCTAATTATCACTGCTTGCCATATTCAGTAAATATTATTTTTATTTTTGTTTGTTGTGTTGGGTCATTTGGCAGAGATCGCTTGTGCGATAAAATGATCCATTTGCTGATACTGCTTACTGTTTAAGTTAAGTGTATCTTATGTAATTTTGTATTTTTATCTGTGGCAATAAATAAAATAAAAAGGCTGATACGCTTAGCTCATTTAAACATAAAGTAAAAATGATGCTTTGATGAGGCGTTTTACGACCGTCAGGAATACTTGTCATTTAATTTTAATATTAGTCCTAGTCAACTAACATAGGTCATACTTCATAATACTTATTCTCACTCTTTCTTTGTTGAATATTGTGTATGTTGTGTATTATATATTGTATGTGGTTTGAACTTGTCACATGTTGGCGAATACAATACTCTTTAATTTGATGTATAGCACTCGAGATATGCTGCAAATAGTCAAATTACCCAAAAAAAAAACAAAAAAATCATAGCTCCAAAACGTATCCACAGTATCCAAACTACATAAGAAAAATACAGTGGCGTCAAATGTACATTTTATGATTTTTTTTTGTAGACTAGTGTAATTATTTTTATAAAATAATATTTTCTAAATCGAATTTTTTTTTAATAAAATCGAATTTCGTTCTTAAATCGAACATTCATCCTAAAATAAATTAAATAACGTAGCGAATTGAAATTCCTTACTGAAAACTAAAATTGTAAACAGTTCACCTAAATTCACCTAACTTAATACTATTTACCGGATATTTTCCGTTAGAACGTGACGGTGTTTGGAGAGTACCAAGCGAAGGACGCGACGATGGCGGACATAGCTCTAGTTATCGATTACTCGACAAATCCCGACAAATTAGTGAAGTTGAAGGCTGCGGCGGCGAACCACTCGAAGAACAACGTGATAAAGTACACGTATACGGTGACGGGCGCCCACCCGGCGACCAAGTTGTTTCTAGACATGAAAGGAGGAATTGTTTGGAGACACAAATATTTCATATCTGAGCATTATGCCAACTATACCAGAACTTTTGACCCTCAGGAGACTGATGCCATATGCTTATTAGACTTCGAGAAAGACGAAGTGAAATTAAGGGTAAGTTAGGATTACATTAGGAATCAGCAATGAATAAGATTTTTACTGATGTTATATAAAGAATTGAAGTAGTCTCGGGCAGTTAACAAATACAGCTGATTACTTCGAAGATTTATCACCCCTTCTCCGGACCGGTTCAGACATATCTAGGAAATTACTTTACGTTCTTTCGGTGCGTTAAAATTCGTCGCGTATAATTATTCAGCCAAGGAGATGTTAATTTCGGGTTGAAAAAAAAAACAAAGAGTCGTAACAAACGACTATGTCAAGCGAAAATATGACGAGGGAGTCGGGTTTTTCCTGGAAATTAATAAGGTTTCACTTTAGATACGTTGCGTTTTTGGCTTTAAATTACGCCGGTTTAAAAAGGGGGTAGTAATCTTCGGAGTGTCGTATTTGTTTTAAAAAGGAAGCTCGAATGATAAAGGGTGAGAATTTCTCCTATGTGCACAGAGTTGCACAACTTGATATGTGGTAGATCTAAAACCGAGAAAATTTAATAGGATAAAGAGGAAATAATTTTCAGAGAAAAACGCCGAGCGATTTGACATCATTTTGGGGTAAATACGAGGGGTCGTTCCCTCTTTATACGGCAAACATGACGGCAGTATACGGGAGCGACATAGATGCTAACGGAGAGTACTACCTAAATTTCTACGAGAAACTTCTAAGGTTCGATCTGAATAAAACCAAAGGTAGATCTCGTCCTCATTTCTTTAAATTGTCTTTATCCCGTCTGGTTTTCACTATTTTCAGACGGTAGCCAAAGCTTGCACATGTACGGCGTAATCCCGGACGCTCGTAACGCCATCTTTGACATTTGGCGAGATTATGAGGAAATCCGAGTGTTTGATGTCTCCTACTTATTGCGCCTAAACCATTCCCGACTGTTTATATCGAACCTGAAGTGGCGTCCTCAACTCCGGGACGAAATGCGAGTACGTATAATGTTCGCGTAACACCAATTTTGTACCATTTCTAACATCTTTTTCTTTATAGAAAGCCGTTCATTCTTTCCTTTACGAGGGCTACAATAGATTTACCGAAGAGGTGAACAATACCCGCCAATACGTTCGCAACGAATTGATCGCTGCCATTGAGGAAGTTTGGTCCGACGCCACACCCCACATTCAAACATTTTTAGACGACTTCAAGTAAGTCATTCTCTATTGGTTACGCTCGTTTCAATGGGATAAAAACATTTATAACAATCTGCCTTATTGAGTTGCCTTCTCACCGTCTTGTATTATTCCCAAACTGCATTCGATCCTCGATTTCGCGCAAGCGCTATTTCAATTAAACCAACGATTTTAATACTACTATTAATTTTCTTTTCAATGCGAGTAAAAACAGACCATAAATTTAACCGGTTATTCGTAGATTAAATGCAATTGATGATGTAGAAAATTATAGAATGAAAAGAAAATAATTTTTGTTAAAAGACAAGATATTAGGGCTCACAGCAAGATTTATTGTTGCTTCAGATGTTTTTATTAATCTTTGACTGTTATTAAGGAACCCCACATATTCTATAACCATACTGTTGATCATGGTACATAGCATGGACTCCAACTTAGAACGAATGAGTTCATTTAGGTTATTGTTACTATTTATGATAAAGATGAAGGCTCCAGATGAAGCTCTTCCGGAAAAGCTGACACGTTTACAATATCTTCATGGAAAGCATGTAAGACGCCGCGGTATCATGGATATCACAGTTAAGCTGTTTGAAGAAAGTTAGAGAGGAGTAGCACAGAAAGAACTTGAGGAAACTGGAAACGAAGTTGAAGGAGGTGAAAAGTTGGGTTGCAAGGATTTGCGAAATAGTATATAGGAAGTGTGATTTGGAGGAACATATATTTCATAATTTTTAATTGAGTTTCCGCCGTGTCAAATTATATGTAGGATGATGTGGAATATCCAGAGTACAGAAGATCTCTGGACTTGTAGTTTACAAGCATTGATGATGGATCATTCTATGGGAGCAAGGGAGGTGATAGAACGTGGAGCCTTATTGAGGCTGCATTCGAGAATCATATATGTCCGAGGGAATAGTTAAGTGGAAATGTTAGTTTAACCACATCAAATATTCTGCTTTTCAAAAGAAATGAACCACCCCGTAGGAGTAGGCGAAGAACTTTGAAATGATGTAGAATCAGTTAGTCCATGTAGACAAACAAATGATTAAATTTTGACGAACATCTGCCACAGCTGATAGAAATTATCTGTCTGTTAGGTCCTGAAATTGCGTGTTGTTGAATAGTATTTTTCGGAGTAGTTCCCCGTTTGTTTGTAATTGTTGTCATTGCATTAGTAAAGTTAGTGTCTCAAAAATGCCACTATGCATGAGGCTGGTTTAAGCTTTCGAGAAATTGGCAGACGCATGGGCTGACCTCACGCCACTATCAGACGGACTTGGATGGATTGGCAGCAAGAACGCTTAGAAACCCGTCGTAGAGGCAGTGGACGTCCTAGAGTGACACAGCACGCGAAGATCGCCTGTTAAGGCGAAATGCAATACAAGAGCAATTGGTCTCAGAGTGCCTATGAGTACGATTTATCGTCGAGTACGATTTATCGTCGAGTACGCACATTTGGGTTGCGTTCATATCGTCCTTATTTGCATCTTCCTATGACTCAACAACATAAAGATGGCAGACTGCAGTGGAGCCAAAACCGACAACATTGGGAACATGCATGGCAAACTATCGTCTTCAGCGACGAATGCCGATTTTGCTTATGGAATTCTGACGGACGTTTACGCATCAGACGACCTAGAGGTCAGAGGCAAAGTTTACAGTTCGTTCAGCGTCGCCACACGGCTCAAACTCCTGGTGTAATACTGTGGGGAGCAATATGCTACGGTGGCAGGTCCCCTTTGTCATTCATTCAGGGCACTCTAAACGCGCGCCGTTACATTGACGCCATTCTGGAGCCCGTGTTAGTGCCTTTCCTCCAAGACCTTCCAGAGCCCGTCTTCCAACACGATAATGCGCGACCTCATATTGCTCACGTAACGTTAGAGTTCCTAGCACAAAGCAATGTCCTTGGCCGGCAAGATCCTCGGACTTAAACCCTATTGAACATGTCTGGGATATGATGGACAGAAAATTGCGTCGGTTACCCCATCCTAACAACACTTTAGAGGAATTACGTCAACAGCTACAGGTAGCCTGGAATGAGCTGCTCCAAGAGGTAATCGACCATTCCAGCATGCCACGAAGGTTACTGAATGTATAAGAGTACGCGGAGATGCAACACATTATTAACGATATTGTCAATAAATATTGTCATTTGTTTATGAAAATTTAATCATTTGTTTGTCTCTAGACATTAACTATTTCTACGTAATTTTGAAGTTCTGCGTCTCCTCCTTCGGGGTGGTTCATTTCTTTTGAAACCGAGTGTATTAAGAAAATATACAACGGAGAAAGTGTTAGTGACATTCTTTAGTGGTGGATTGTTTCGTGATGTGTTTGGATGGCATCGTACTAAGGGGTACCTGACTGCACTTACAACAAAAGAGGGAGAATTACAACTATAACAAAGTAAAGTAAAGCATAAGACACTGATGGGTTGTGGAAAGGTTTGCCGAATAGTTTATGCATGTGGTGAGGGATGTTGTTCCATCGATGTTATTGCGAGGTAACCGGAAGCAATGAGGATAATGAGGGGGAAGTTGTACAGGTAGAGTCGTAGAGATGGTGGGTGAGAATGTAATGAGTGAGAGTAGAGTAAGGATGGTAGATGTAGCGACGATAACTCAGGAGAAGCTGCAGTCGATAAGCATTGGGTGGAATAGGTTATAAAGAAGGGGAATAATAGACATAGATACAAAGTGTGTAACGATAATATCACAACTGTGGGGTGGTTGCTGATGAGTAAGAGAAGAAGTATGGAGGTGAACGATATTGTGAAAGTTTTTGAGAGGGCGAAGAAAATGGGCAGGAAAGTGAAATTGGGATGGAAGGTTGTGGAGATGGATGTGAGGAGGGTGTGTGTTCAGAAGTGTGTGTATTGGACGGAGGAGTTAAAGAATGTTAGAGAGCCGTGGAAGAGGAGATGACTGAAATCAGATAAGAGTATAGGTTTATAAAAGATGGATGGGTGAGGTGGCCATGTCTAGTAAGGGCATTCAGCTGATGACAGTACAGGGTCCATTCAATGTGTATTTGAGAAGGTTTCGACTAAGGAACAGACGAAGGGGATGTGTGGGTATGGGGCCAGTGAGAACACCCTACAGCATATCTTGCAGGAGTGTCCGGATGAGAGGAGAGAGTTGAATGGGATTCTAGATCATAGCAATATGGATGCTTGGAACTGGTTGGCCGGCCGTCATTATGTTTTGCACATGCTAACAGTAAGATTATTATAAGCTAGAAGCAATTTTATTAAGCTATTATAAGCAAATTGTCAACCTTCTTCGGTTTCGCAATAACCCAAACGCTCATAGATGGAATTTTGAACCATCAGGAGCATATCCGAAGTGATATTGGTGGTTTTTCAAGTATGCGATTTTCCACATCATTGATTAATTCTGGTTTTGTTGCATATACTCTACTTTTCACAAATCTCCAAAAGGAAAAATCGAGTGATGTTAGATCATGAGATCGTGGTGGCCACTCAATATCACCTCTACTACCAATCCAACGGTTTGGAAACGTACGGCTTAAGTATCGGACTGCGCGACTAAAATATAGAGGACTACCATCTTGTTGGAACCACTTGATTTTCTAACAGATGCAAATTTCTGTCTCCGTCCAAATTTCCATTAATAAAAAATGGACCAATTACATTTTCTCCCATAATACCAGCCCATACATTAATTTTCTGCGGTCTCTCAGTATGACCTTCTCTTATTAAACGTGCATTTTCGTCACTCCAACAACGACAATTGTGTCTATTAACCTTACCATTCAAGTAGAAAGTAACCTCATCAGAGAAAACAACGTTCAAAAGAAAATTTCTGTCAACATCACATTTTCCAACCTTCTTTCTAAGTCACCTTCGTTGAATTCCTATTTTCCCATTTGGTAGTCAACCCCTCATAATTCGTGTTTCTTTTTCCATTACCTTTAAAATAAGGTAAAACTCGATAGGGGTTGCTGTTTAAAAATGTAGGGGTGGTTATCCCCTAAAAAAACTCTATATTGCATGGAGAACTATCTAAAAATGTAGTTTTATCATTCTTTAGTGATCCCCAAATTTTCAAATTTCTTTCTTCACTCGTTCAAAACTTATAGCTCCGTCCCGGGAGTTTTGGGAAACCTGTATACAGTGCTAGCGTAAAGTAACCCCCCCCCCTGTTTAACTTCTGAACAGATTGAGATATCAATATGAACAAAAAAACGTCAGTTTCTATATTTTATCAGCACAAATATTTTCTTATGGAAAATTTTGGTATCACTTTTAGTTTTTCCGGAAAATGGAACAGCTTTGTTTTTTTAAATGGAACACCCAGTATATTATGGTATCTTTCGAAAGAATAAAACAATACGAATTCAACGATACCTCACAATCAAATATCGGTTTATTAGTTTTTTACATAAAAATTAAACAAAATGCGGAATTTCGCCGGAAAAACCAACGTATCTTCGTTGACTACCTGTCGAGATACAATGGGCCAGATAAATGGTGGACGGTCAGTTAAAGGTCGGTCTACGCTCGGATTAAGCAGGGTTAAAATCAGCAATTCTTTTAGAATGTTTTTATGAAACAATCAATACAAGAAAAGGATAAAAAGAAAGTTCTTTTTAAAACTTCTAAGAAAAAATTGTCATAACAACAATTTTAAAGTTTGTAGGTACTTTGAAATTTTGTATTTAAGGCAGCATGCAAATATTTTCCTTCATTTCTATCTTTGAATTCTACCCGACCAAGTATAACCAAAGAAAGGCGAGATCAAAATGGCTAGAAGGAGTTTAGAGCACAATATCGAAGCAATTTTAATATTCGCTCGTGCTGACAGAAATCTACATGAAACAGGGCGACAATTTAAGGAACGATTTCCTGAACATCCAATTAGTCGAAAATATTTAAGAGAGCTTGTGAATAAGTTTTTGGAAACTGGAAGCGTCGAAGACCGCAAAAGAACTGGTCGTCAGATATTAACAGAAGTATTTAATGTGCCCATGATGTCGTCTGCTGCTATCGCATCAACGTGTGATGTGTTAAATATTTCCGCGTCGTTGTTGGAAGACGTGGAAATACTTAAAGAAGAATAAATATCATCCATTTTAAATAAAAATGCTTCATGAATTAACAGAAGATGACCCTGATATAGAAGAACAGAATTTTGTGAGCTAATGACAAATATGGTTGAACGAAATCGATTATACTTGAAACATATTTGTTTCAGTGATGAATGTACTTTCTTTTTGGGTGGAAAATTGCATCGGCGTGATGTTAATCCACATGAATATCGTGACGTTATCACTCAATTTCATTAGAAAGTAAATGTTTTTTTTTCAAGACTTTTGCAAATTGTACAACAGAATTCTGACGATTTTGAAATGGAACTAGTGTTTCATCAAGACGGAGCACCTCCACATTATGCGCCAATGGTACGAAATTATCTTGATAAAAATTTTAATGGACAACAAGATCACCAGATCTGACACCTTTAGATTTCTTTTTATGGGGTTATTTAAAATCCAAGGTATATGAAATTCCGTTGGGTAGTATTGAGGATTTAAAACAAAAAATTATTGACGTCTGCCAAAATATTGATCACATGTTAAGCCGTGTGAGAGAGGAAACACTACAAAGATGGTACCACTGCCTAGAAGTTCAAGGTAATCATATCGAACAATTTACTTAATATTTGATTCTTAATAAATAAAAAATTCTTTTATTATTCAATAACAACACTAAGCAAATTTTTCAACCGTTACCTATACTAGCAAAATCTTTAATAAGAAAATTTCATTTCTTATATTGACTTTTTTTCTTTATAAATATTTTTTGATAAAATATGATTAATTCATAAATTTAATATACTTCCAAACAACTTTTATTTCATTTCTAAAAAAAATAAGTAATTGAACTTGCAATTTTAAATCCGTCTTAGCTCGAGCGTATACCGACCGTCCACCATTTACCTGGCCGATTGCATTTCGACAGGTAGTCGACGAAGATACGTTGGTTTTTCCGGCAAAATTCCGCATTTTGTTTAATTTTTATGCGAAAAACTAATAAACCGATATTTGATTGTGAGGTACCGTTGGATTCGTATTGTTTTCATCTTTCGGAAGATACCATAATATACTGGGTGTTCCATTTAAAAAAACAAAGTTGATCTATTTTCCGGAAAAACTAAAAGTGATGGCAAAATTTTCCATAAGAAAATATTTGTGCTGATAAAATATAGAAACTGACGTTTTTTTGTTCATAGTGATATCTCAATTTGTTCGGAAGTTAAACAGGGGGGGGGTTACTTTACGCTAGCACTGTATATGTTGCTGTGGTCGGTCCGAGATTTCATCCGTTCCTCTTGTTGGTTCCCTTGGGAAGGGGGCAGAAGTTTCGCCAAGATCTCACCTGGCATCTTCAGTGCGTTGTCGTAGTCTCATATCGAATAGCGCATTTTTTACGAATTACTTCAACTCTCACACAATAGTTAAACGTTATTGGGTTTTTACACCCTGTGTAAGATACGACAACGCATTTGGCTATACTAAGATCAATTCCATTCTGTACAGACCAGGAACTGATAATGTTCAGATTGCGCTGTAAGATAACACAGTCTTCAGGGGATGTTACACGAACGAATATCTTTAGGTCATAGGCGTAAGCAAGCACATTACAATCAAGTCGTCGTAATACATCATTCCGATAAACATCGAAAAGAAGGGGACCCAGGATTTAAAACCGTTGTAGCTCACGTAGCAAAATCTATATAAGATGAAATTAAATCCACGAAATCACTGGTAAATCCAAGAAGTATTCTATGATCTAATCTATCAAATGCCTTTGTAAAATCTGTGTAAATTATATCAACTTGTTGCCGTTTATCTGATGAACTGCGTTACCTCTGCTAAATTAGTCATAGTTGAACGACCAGTCATAAATCCGTGCTGATGATCAGATACAGGGTGATTCTCAACCTATACGCATAAACTTGTGGTTTCATTCCTTATGAATTGTAGTAGATTGTGTTGAACTGGATTTAAAGTATCAACAAAGTTCTTCAAATGGAAAGATTTACGATAGAGGCTATTCTTGGACATCAAAAAAAAGAAACAGTTCCAAATCATCCAGCTTAACATCAGGAGTCTTGCAGTGCATAATGAGAGGTAACATTGGTAAGGTTGTGTGATTTGGGTGTAATTGGTACAGGTTAGTGGAGGACTATCTGCAAGGATCCATATTAAGGTCATATCCAGGATGCGTTTTATGGGAGTGAGACTTTATGGGGCCGACTTTTAATGAGCTTGATTGATGTTGTGTTGCTTATCTAACATGGTTCATTTGGCCAATCTTTTCGAAGACATCGCATTGACATGGCTATTGACCAGCATTCGAGTACTAGTTTTTGCAATCAACATATGCATGAAATAAATTAACGTGTTCTCTGAGTTCTGGAATCTTGCAGATGAATATTGATGTTGACAGATGATATTATACACTGTATTACATAATTATTTAATAAATTGAAATATGATAAATAAGGAGAGGTAAAATGTAGTTAATAATTTGACGTGGAGTGCTGAGATCTGAGAAACTTGTCGCTTAGAAGTTACCGAAATTCCACAATTGCGGACATTATTCGGAATATTGGGTTCGAATAATTATACGCAATAGTTTCAGTAAGCCACAGACATTGTTAATTACTTAGACTAATTTGACGTGTGATTGAGGACATCCCGTTTAATGGGTGGGCCGGGTTGCCTTATTTTATCGCGAACTTTCATAATTAATACACGCTCGGTAGGGATTATTACGCGTCATTCCGGGCGTCGAAGAAGGACTTACGCTAATTAAGACGATACCTTTTTGCCTGACGGCGGCTTGTCCCCCTGAAACATCGGCGTTAATTCCATTATAAATCTTCGGAGCACAATGGCGCGGCGCACCATAAATTTACCGGCATTATGCGGCGTAATATGTAAGTTCGCTTGGGATCAAATATGCCTATGACGGTGTATTTCCTTTTCGTTAATTGATATGCAACGCACACTCACGCGCCCATTTGAATTTCACCGGAGTCCTATTGAGGATGTTTCTATTTATATGAGCTTGATACAATTACCGTATCCAAGCTTCCATTCATCGTCAAACTGTCACCCGTTGTTCGCATAATGCCCGCGCTATAATCTATTGCTTTGCGAACAATATAAGAACTACTTGCTAATTAATAGTTTGTATACGTAATTCGAACTGCGTAGCGTTAATTATGTCGGCGGTGCTCAATTGGGCATTGTTTTCGATGACCAAAAGCCGTACTAATCTCGTCATTGCAATATTTGTAGGGGATTGAATGTTATTTCGGAGGATCTACGGGAATTGAAGAAATTTGTTAACTCGTCTTATTACGCCAATGAATTTTATATCCGCGACGTGGTCAATCTCATCTTACACACAGTTGATGAGTTATCTTTAAGGACACATATCGAATCGGTTCCGGCAATTGTCAATGAAATGTGGCAAGTGATGGGCGATTCCGGGAAAAAGATTCATCAAAGCATCGTTTGGGTGATCGAAAAAATTAAAACTTACTATCAGAAAGCGACCGACTTCCTGAACGATATACTTCAAGGGAAAGCTGTCGACCACCTTTCAGATACCTTCAAAGTGTTCGTTGAAAAGTACGATAATTTTATAAAGGATATGCACGTATCGATCATAAAATATGCGGAAGACCTGTGGAGCAAGAGTTACAAGATGCTCGTGGAGAATTGGCGCAGGGCGTTAATTTCCGTGGAACCAACCTTCATTAAGATAATTCATTACGTCGAACACATAGTTTGGAGTGCCGGTCGAGAATTTGTTGGTAAGTTACTCGTAATTTATTTCGGCCCCTTTCTTTTTCCAAACTAACCCTCTTACCGTCGAACTTCATAAGTTCTAATAAATGGTTTCCCACCGCACACATATTGATCACGGGTTTGCGCTGTATTTTAAACAACCTAACAAACCAACCTTCGATCTTTCACTCTTATTCCATCATCGTTCTTTACAAACAGAATTCTTTATTTACCAGATTTCCTCTACACGAGAAAAGCAGAAATATTGGAATCGGAATACTTTAATAAATTCGCTAAACTAACTCAAGACCTGGATAGATTTTACAAAGACATAACAGGCGATGACACTTTAGGAGCCATACACAAGTACTCGAAAGTAGCTTTTGATTTCTTAAAGAAAAAGTATTTCGAGCTAGTACCTTTCGCTAAAGAATTAGAGAGAATATATACTGAAATAGTGGACGAAGTAACTCAGTTGAAGAATCTACCTTTAGCGCAATTTATGATGCAAAGATTCGACCAAGTATACGAAAAGGTAAAATGGTTCGCTGATTATTTCGACGTCCAAACTAAAATTCACCGGTTCGTGACGCTGGTCCGACTGAAGTTGATGGATATGAAGCGGAACGCGTTAGAAACGGAAAACCGCCACAGGGAGGCAAAGACCAAATTTATTTTTGAACCTTCGCAAGGCGTCATGTATCTAGAGCAAAAGCTACCGATGTCGTGGCACGCGTTCAACGAGACCCCCAAATTCGACGAAATCCCCGAATTTAAAAAGCTGAAGGACGTCCAGAGGTTCTTCTCCAGTTCAAAACTCACTTTCGCGAGTATCTATACGGACTATAAACCCTTTATCGAAGTGACTCAATGGTTGCCTCCTTTCAAAGGTAAGGGATCGATTATCTCCATCCGTGGTAGCCCGACTCTTTTGTTTTTTTTTGCAGCTCAGGCTATATTGGTTCGTGGGAAGCATTTTATCACATTTGATCGCACTGTTTACGACTTTCGGGGAGACTGCACATATCTTCTCGCTAGCGATTTCAGGGACGGTAATTTTTCAATCGCAGTTTCCTACAATAAGCACCAAACGGGGAGTCATAGGTTATTAATTTTATTGAACAAGACTTTGGTTCAAATAGACTTACAGACTAAGGTATTATATAAATTAATATTAATAGTTTATTAAATTATTAATTATTTTTTTAGGTTATAAACGTAGCGGGAAAAGATTATATAGCGTTGCCGTATAAAATTGGGGAATCTCATATCCACCTGGAGAGCGATATAGTAACGGTGGCGAGCGAATACGGTTTCAAGGTGCAGTGCAACATGAAATTTGACGTTTGCATGTTTGAGGTCTCGGGTAAGGATGTCCCTGGGGGCGCCGCGCTCTGTCTAATTGACAATAAATGCCCTTTAGGTTGGTACTTTGGGAAGACTGGAGGTCTTTGGGGGACCATGAATAATGAGCCGTCGGACGATTTTCTAACACCGGAAAAACAACGACTCGGGTACGTGGAAGTAGCGCAGTTCGCAAATAGCTGGTCCTTGGACCGAAGTTGTTCCACAACGGATCGACGACCGGTCGCGAAAAATACAACGGAAAGTGTTAGAATTCTTTGCGAATCCTTCTTTGCCGGGAAAGTGTCCCCCTTTATTACGTGCTTCCCGAGGGTCTCCCCAAAATCCTTCCTAGATATTTGCCTGGAGAGTTCCGACGAGGAGGAAGTTTGTAGCGTTGCCATCGCTTACATCAGCCTTTGCGCCGATGAGAGTACCCCCTTGCGCATCCCGGACAATTGTGTTAAGTAAGTTGCCATCGATTTTAGAAAGCTTAATGACGTTTTCCAGTGATGTGGAAAACCCACCCATCGGAATTTCAACAACTTCCGAGGCATTAATGCGTTTTTGATTTCCGGTTGCGTAACTTTATTACACGAAATGTTATTAATAGCTACGCGAGCCAATAATTGATTTTAATTTGTAGGGTATTTATTAAAATCTACAAAATATACAAAATTAATAAATAGCTACTATCCATAAATAATTCAAGATTAGATTTATAATTTAACACGAATTTCAAAATATTTTAACTTATATATAACTTAATCATATATTTATAAACGTAGATGTAAATTGGAAAATGGTACAACGATTCCAGAGGGCAAATTCATTACAATGAAGGACCACGAAATTCCACGTACGACGGACGTAGTTTTTATTGTCGAGGGTAAAAACTGCAACTCAGACTTGAAAGCTTTGAAGAAGAAGGTGGAGGCGATCGTTGAACATTTAGAAAAGGAGCTTTTGCGGTTAAATATCACCAGGAACAGGTAATCGATGTCGGTATTGTGCGGAACACTGACCCTGCACCCGATAACGCGAAGAGAACCTCTCTTCGAAATTGTTCATTAAAATAATAATGGCTGTCGTAAAATATGCATACGACGTCATTTTCGTGTAAACCGCGCTCTCGCGTCTACTTCCAACCGTAAAAATACCGACAAGATTTTCAACCGGCTGAGTTTGAATTTACAAATCAGTTTGGATACCGTTTGATATTCTATTAATGTGTAAATTAGTTCACTCAATCTATACGTGGTTGATTGCATTTGAAATGTAGACTGATACATCGTCCCAACATTAACCCGTTCATATTGTAATGGAAATTACAATTTACCTTATTCCGGCATTACGGAACATATGCGTGCGTTTATGTTTAACTTTTAAACCATTTTTAATTCTGTTGAAATAATGCGTGATCGCTTTATAAATTCGTATTTTATTAATTATAAAAAACAGTACAAAAGCGTAATTAACTCCTAAATCATTACCTTAACTAAACCACCCGCTAGATCGCGTTATGATATTATTAATAAATGTAGTGTGTTAATTAATTATCGTACCCGACGTCATCATTGCAAGTATGCAACCAATATCACAGTACTTGTGTTGTAATATCCGATTTGCGTATTGCAATACCAATACTGTGATATTAGTTGCATACTTGCAATGATGACGTCGGGTACGATAATTAATTAATACACTGTGTATAATCTAACACGCCTCCTTACATTTATAAAACATTCACTATAAAATAAACATAATTTAAAATACTAAAAAATAAATCTTATACCACTAAACTCAACATTTCTCTTAGTTTCATAAATTTATCTTTGCTCATTGATTTTGTAAAATATCCGCCAGGTTTCTATTTGAATCTACTTTAATTATATCTATGATTCCTTCATATTTAGCAATACTCAAAGTTCCCCAATTATCTTCGTATATCTTAATAGGTGCCTTAAAGTCAATCTTAAAAAATGCGAGTATATCTTTTATTAATTTTATTTCGGTTACCGCCTTTGATAAGGCTACATATTCGGCAAAGGGTGAAGACTTAGTTACACTACCCTGTTTACTAGAATTCCAATGTACCACATTTTCAAACAATCTCATTACATAGCCTGACGTAGATTTGAATTGTCTGCTGCCCAATCTGCGTCTACATAGCAATCAAGGATTTCACAAATATCATTCTTATTATAAGTTAACTTTATGTCTTTTGTCAAATATAAATACTTCAAAACTCTCAAGGCATATTTAAAATGAGTTTCATTATAACAATTTTGAAATCTACTTAAGCAATTAACGCTATAGCTTACATCTGGTCTAGTAGCCGAACTTATATACAGAACTGCCCCTATTAGATTTCTATACATAATATTATCAGATATAATAATAATAAATTGCTTTATTGTTCGCATAGCGTACAAAAAAATCATACCATAGAGAATTTAAACATTAATAGAATGCGCATTAACTGTAACATACAACAAAAAGAAAAAACATAATGCAGATGCAAAGCCATTTTTACAAACGTGAAGATCACTGCCATGCAAATAATTTGTTGTCTTTTAAAAGTTATTGATGATGCACACTGTCCACTCAAGAGGAAATTCATTCATTGTCTTAGCGATCTGATACGAAAATGAATTTTTGAAAAAAGCAGTATGAAAAATCTAATATTCATCCGCGATGTACACACTGATGGCTTATAAAGATGGAAGATCCGGTGGTAGAGACATACAGAGTGCAGCACCCTTCTTCCCTGCATGTTTAACCATTTTAATTCCGGCAACTTATCACTTACATGATCACTTCGGTGAAGACCAAACAGCGTTTTTTGAATTTTTGCTTTTAAGACATAGGACAAAAAAGGAGAATACAGAACATCTGCATAGTTAAAAAGTGACAGAACCAGACTTTCACACAGACATTTCCTTGTGTTACGGTTCAAATAATGTCTGTTCGAGTAGATAACCTTCAAACTCCCATACGCTTTTTGTATGCATTTGTTGATGTGATCATTAAAAGTCAAATTCTCATCAAATAAGACACCCAAATTCCTTACTGTTTTATGGAATTGCAGCTGTTCATTGTTCACAAATAGATGGAGACTGTCTGCAACTTGCTGTCTGAGGCTCTTCGGGTCGAAAATAATAGCAAGAGACTTACTCTGATTTATATGAAGCCCAATCACTATTTATACCCGCTTTAACTACCTCAGACGGAGGGAAGGAATAGTACAACTGAATGTCGTCTGCGTAAAAGTGCGCCTTACAATGTGAAATGGATTTGATAAAGTTTGATGTGTATAATACATACAAAATTAAATCTCACTTCCAGAGAATCAGAGCAATCAACCCCCACCGATACTACCTGTTAGAAAATCTAAGTACGAAGGCTTTCACGGCCGGTGTGAGTTAAACTAAAATTAGAACTAAAACTAGAAACTTTCTGGTTTTGCCGTTCGTCTTTTAATAAAAGGTTTGACGTTTCGAATGCCATGTTGCAACGTTCTTCAGAAACTGGTTCGAAGTGACGAGATCAAAAATCGGTAACTATATATAAGTTGGAAAAACTAATTAATAATCAGTTAACGCTAATTACAAGCTAATTATTAACTAATTGCTCCCAGCCATCCTCTCTGTTGACGTTATTTTTATGTCGGTGGATCTCTATAGCTTCTCTTGTCAGTCTTTGGCAGTATCTGTTGTCCCTAGCTAGCACCTTTGTTTGTTCGAAGTCTATTCGGTGCCCCTCTGCGTGGCAATGTTCCGCAACCGCCGACTGCTGGATCTTCTTCAGCCTTACATCCCTCTCATGCTCCTTGATGCGGCACTCGACGTTGCGTCCAGTTTGGCCAACATAAACCTTCCCACAACTACACGATAGTCGATAGACTCCCGCTCTTTTTAATGGAGTTAGTTTGTCCTTGGCTATCGGGAGTGTGTTCCGAATTTTGCTGACCGTGCCGTACCGCACTACGATGTCGTTCTTCTTGAGGTGCCTAGCAATTCGTTCCGTTACACCTGAAACATAGGGAAGACAGATAAATCCAAGTGGTTTTGTACTTACCGTGTCCTCTTTCTGCTTTCGCTGCTTGATGGCCTGGTTGATGTCCCTCGAAGTGTATCCATTCTTCTGCAGCACGCCTCGTAGAAAGTGTTGCTCCTTCTTCAAGTTCTCTCCTTCACATAGTCTCGCTGCTCGCTGAAATAATGTACGGATCACGGACCTCTTCTGTTGGGGATGATGATGTGAACATGCCTGTAAATACCTGTTGGTATGGGTCTTCTTTCGGTATACACCAAGTTCTATATCTCTATTTGTCGTCCTGGTGACCAACACATCTAGGAAATGTAGTTTTTGGCAGTTTCTGTTTCCATGGTGAACTTAATCATAGGATGTTGAGAGTTCAAGTGATCCAAGAACTCTTGGAGGCGTTTTTGACCATGTAGCCATATCACAAACGTGTCATCCACATATCGGAGCCATAGTTTTGGTTTCCACTGGCTCTTCTTCAAAGCGTCCTTTTCGAATAATTCCATGTAGAAATTAGCTATAACTGGCGATAGTGGAGATCCCATGGCTGCCCCTTCGAACTGCTCGTAAAATTCTCCTTTCCAGCATACTCCACCAGATCTAGCACGTATTCTGGTAAACCCTCCGGAATGAGTTTTCGGCGAAGACCCTTTACAGCATCCTTAACTGGTACCCTAGTAAAAAGGGATTCCACATCGAAACTACCAACATATATATACCTTTTATTAAAAGACGCACGGCAAAACCCGAAAGTTTCTGGTGTTAGTTCTAGTTTTAGTTCTAATTTTAGTTTAATGTTAGAAAATCATTTAATAACTTTTTTGCATTATATTCAAAAACCAACATAACTTAGTATTGCTGTGAGTAGTTTCATGATCAACTGTGTTAAGTGCGTTGGAATAATCCAACAAACAGAGTACCGTCATCCTACTTCTATCATTCCCCCGCAGGATATCATCGATAATGTGAATTAGTGCTGTAGTAGAACTAGAACTACGTCTAAAACCTTATTATCATCCACATAACTATTTATTTGTTCAAATAAAATTCGTTCCATAACCTTTGACAACACCGGCAGCACACTTATTGGCCTCAGATCACTTAAAGCAGTTGGTGCGTTCGATTTAGGCAAGGGCTTTATCAACGCTTTTTTCCAGATGGTAGGGAATACACCACTAAGAATACAAGTATTAATGAGATTACAAAGGTAAGGCGTAATATGTGGACAACACAAATCAATACATTTAATATTGAGATAGTCATATCCGAAAGCTTTGCTTTTGATGCAGTGTGAAAACCGAAGGTTAAATCATTTAGTTTATTGCTATTATAAAAGTTTAGTAAATCAAAATCCGGACTATAACTTCTGGGTATTGCATTGACAAAAAAGTTGTTAATAGCGTTTGAAGAACCAAGGTGTTTAGGTATTGAAATAATACTTCTTTTAAACATTCCAGCATTTCTCAGTGCCTTCCAGCTGTGATTTGTAATTCCCAATTGAAATTCAAAGTATGCCTTACGTTCTAGAATTATTGATTTATTAATCAAATTACGCAATGACTTGTAATAATCCCATTTAGCAGATGTTTTATTTGACTGATAATTTATAAAGGCTTTATCTCTTAAGCTTTGCATAAATTTTATATTCTGTCTTATCCAAGGTGACGGAGGACCAGTATATGACCTGGCTATATTTTGAAAGCTTGATTTCATATTTGTTGCGCCCTTAATGTTATAATAAATTATACTGTGGTCTGAGATACCATAAGTGGTATACACACAACTTGCGTTGACCATATGGGATTTCGAAATGTAAAAAACGTCAATTAATCTAGAAGTCTGGCCCGTAACCTTTGTGGGGTCATTTATAAGCTGTACCAAACCGAAAGAATCACAAACATCTGTTAAAGCCATGGTTGACACGTTCCCCGGCATTAATAAATTAATATTCAAATCACCAGTAAACATAACAGTGTCCACAAATAGTTTATTAGTGTTTATTCCTTACAAATTTCATCTTCCTTAAAAATCCATCAAAACAATCGTACCATGCACGAGGACTTTCTCTCAAACCATATAATGCTTTTTCTAGTTTACAAACTCTGTCTGTCCCATCCTCAAATCCTTTAGCTTGATTTACATATATTTCTGAAAAAATTTTACCATTGAAGAAAGCAGTCTCTACATCCATTTGTTCTATAATTAGTTTCTCCTGGCAGCAATATGATAACAATATTTTTAAAGTTTGCATTTTAGCTACTGGTGAATAAATATCATCCACAATTTCAAATTGTTCAAAGCCTTTTACAACAAATCTGGCTTTATAAATGTTATTTGACATTTTTGTGTAAACCCATTTAACATCTAAACTTTTTTTATTTTCTGGCTTTTTGACCAATTTCCAAGTTTTATTTTTCTTGAAACATTCCATTTCCTTATTCATAGCTACTTTTCACTGTTCAAATTTTAGATCTATTTTTGCTTCTTCTAATAAACATCTAGATATGTCCATAATTGATCTATTATATTTTATCATAAATTTGAAAATAACTATTTACATGATCTACTTTAGTGGCTTTCAAAAATTTACCATCACCAATTTTACATTTACAGGTTCTTTTACATGTTACACTATCATGAAAATATTGATCATTATTTATTACATGAACAGTACAGCCAGTGTCTAATAACCAATGAATTGCTATTTCATCATCTAAATCTGACTTTTCGTCTTTGTATGTCATCATAGTTTGGACCTGCGTATAAAAACTGTTCGTTCCATAACCGCCGTGATAATAGTTACCTCTTCAAGTATGTTGTTCGCCTCGACCACGCTGTTTGCCTCTATTATTACCTCTTCGTTGGCTGAAATTTCCTCGGTTGTACTGTTGCTGCTGCATTCCACCTCGTTTCCACGATGGCCTGGTTTCACACTTCCTGATTCTGTTTCTTTGTAAAAAAGGCATTTGACTTTTGGTCACAATTTGTGGATTCTACATCCATTTGTTCTATAATTAGTTTCTCCTGGCAGCAATATTATAACAATATTTTTAAAGTTTGCATTTTAGCTACTGGTGAATAACCACTATTTCACTGTTCTGCCGGATTACTATTTATCGCCTCTTCAAAATTATTTGGATTTTCAACATTGCCATTTTATCTAGCCGGCATTTATCTTTCTCTCTTTGATCTTCTCAATTCTTGAGACGTTCTTGCTTCCTGTTTAATTGTTTTATTTTCGAATTCTATTTTTGTGCTTTCATCTTGTATTTCTGAATCACTAGAATAATCACTTTCAAATTCATTGTCAGTTCTGTTTGTATCTAAACCTATGCATTTAACATTCTTTTCCACAACATCAACATGTCTAGCTACAACGATTCTGTTATTTACTAAAACTCTATACCCCACTTCAAAATAACCCAGTAAAACTCCAAAATCAACCTTTTTATCCCATTTAGACCTTCTTAACTGTTCTGGTCTTCGAACAAAAATTCTACTTCTAAATAATAATGTTTAATAGTAGGCTTTTTTCCAAACATTATTTCGTAAGGCGTTTTCTTTTCTACACTATTTGCTAATGTTTTATTTTTAAGATATGCATCTGGCCAAAATTTTAGATCTATTTTTGCTTCTTCTAATAAACATGAAGATGTGTCCATAATTGTTACACTATCATGAAAATATTGATCATTATTTATTACATGATCAGTACAGTCAGTGTCTAATAACCAATGAATTGCTGTTTCATCACCTAAATCTGATCTTTCGTCTTTGTATATCATCATAGTTTGGACCTGCGTATAAAAACTGTTCGTTCCATAACCGCCGTGATAATAGTTACCTCTTCAAGTATGTTGTTCGCCTCGACCACGCTGTTTGCCTCTATTATTACCTCTTCGTTGGCTGAAATTTCCTCGGTTGTACTGTTGCTGCTGCATTCCACCTCGTTTCCACGATGGCCTGGTTTCACACTTCCTGATTCTGTTTCTTTGCAAAAAAGGCATTTGACTTTTGGTCACAATTTGTGGATTCTACATCCATTTGTTCTATAATTAGTTTCTCCTGGCAGCAATATGATAACAATATTTTTAAAGTTTGCATTTTAGCTACTGGTGAATAACCACTATTCCACTGTTCTGCCTTATTACTATTTATCGCCTCCTCAAAATTATTTAGATTTTCAACATTGCCATTTTATCTAGCCGGCATTTTCCTTTCTCTCTTTGATCTTCTCAATTCTTGAGGCATTCTTTGGTCCTGTTTAATTGTTTTATTTTCGAATTCTATTTTTGTGCTTTCATCTTGTATTTCTCAATCACTAGAATAATCGCTTTCGAATTCATTGTAAGTTCTGTTTGTATCTAAACCTATGCATTTAACATTCTCTTCCACAACATCAACTTGTCTAGCTACAACGATTCTATTATTTACTAAAACTCTATATCCAACTTCAGTATAATCCAGGAAAAATCCAAAATCAACCTTTTATTTCATTTAGACCTTCTTAACTGTTCTGGTCTTCGAACAAAAATTCTACTTCTAAATAATAATGTTTAATAGTAGGCTTTCTTCCAAACGTTATTTCGTAAGGCGTTTTCTTTTCTACACTATTTGCTAATGTTTTACATTTAAGATATGCATCTGGCCAAAATTTTAGATCTATTTTTGCTTCTTCTAATAAACATCTAGATGTGTCCATAATTGTTACACTATCATGAAAATATTCATCATTATTTATTACATGATAAGTACAGCCAGTGTTTAATAACCAATGAATTGCTATTTCATCACCTAAATCTGATCTTTCGTTTTTGTATATCATCATAGTTTGGACCTGCGTATAAAAACTGTTCGTTCCATAACCGCCGTGATAATAGTTACCTCTTCAACTATGTTGTTCGTCTGGACCACGCTGCTTGCCTCTATTATTACCTCTTCGTTGGCTGAAATTTCCTCGGTTGTACTGTTGCTGCTGCATTCCACCTCGTTTTTACGATAGCCTGGTTTCACACTTCCTGATTCTGTTTCTTTGTAAAAAAGGCATTTGACTTTTGGTCGCAATTTGTGGATTCTACATCCATTTGTTCTATAATTAGTTTCTCCTGGCAGCAATATGATAACAATATTTTTAAAGTTTGCATTTTAGCTACTGGTGAATAACCACTATTCCACTGTTCTGCCTGATTACTATTTATCGCCTCCTCAAAATTATTTGGATTTTCAACATTGCCATTTTATCTAGCCGGCATTTATCTTTCTCTCTTTGATCTTCTTAATTCTTGAGACGTTCTTGCTTCCTGTTTAATTGTTTTATTTACGAATTCTATTTCTGTACTTTCATCTTGTATTTCTGAATCACTAGAATAATCACTTTCAAATTCATTGTCAGTTCTGTTTATATCTAAACCTATGCATTTAACATTCTCTTCCACAACATCAACATGTCTAGCTACAATGATTCTGTTATTTACTAAAACTCTATACCCAACTTCAGTATAACCCAGTAAAAATCCAAAATCAACCTTTTTATCCCATTTAGACCTTCTTAGCTGTTCTGGTCTTCGAACAAAAATTCTAGTTCTAAATAATAATGTTTAATAGTAGGCTTTCTTCCAAATGATATGCATCTGGCCAAAATTTTAGATCTATTTTTGCTTCTTCTAATAAACATCTAGATATGTCCATAATTGAATTTAACCAGTACAGCTAGTGTCTAATAAGCAATGAATTGCTATATCATCGTAGTTTGGACCTGCGTATAAAAACTGTTCATTCCATAGCTTATTTTACTTTTTAAATACTCTACAGTCTGATCCTCTTCTTTTAAAACATCAACCAAATCTCCAATATAATTCAATGAATTTGGTGGTGTTCGCAACATGTAATTCATTTTTCTTTTTTCGTTACTTTTGCATGCACAGCTTTATAAAAAATGTTGGAATATCTTTAAAATCTTTCATTTTCAGTTTTTCCAATTTATTTCTGCAAATTATCTGCAACGGTGTCGATTCTTTTAAATATAACTCATCAAATTTCTTTATAATACCATATGCCACTTCTATTTCGTTCACAACTTCCAGTTGTTTATTTGTGATCGCACTGTAGATAATATTCATCTCCATCGGAACTCTGTTTTTCTTTTGAAACAGCTTCCGTAATCTTCTCCATCGAACACCGGTATAGCTACCATGTTGAAATAATCCGTGATCGCTTAACTAACAACTACGTTATGTATTAACTACTTGATCGCTCCTAAATCGTTAGCTTAACTAAATCACCCGCTAGATGGCGTTACCATATTATTGATAAATGTATATAATCTAACAAATTCCATTAAGAATAATTAAATGTTGATTAATGAAGCCAAACGCGAGTACGGTTAATAATAAATCAAATTTTTCTGCGAAGCGGTAAATATTTTAGACGTCCAAGTTTAAACGAGGGTGAAACTGGGACATCGACATATCGAACGGGTTTTCTAAGAAGTTGACGTCCCGATTAAAATGCCCTTGTCATCGATACTCTTATTCTAGATACGCGATCGTGGAGTACGGGAATCCGCCTGACGGCAACGGACGAGCTCACAGCGTCTTGATCAATAACACTGCCTTCGCCGAGCACCAGTTGATATCATCATTTCTTGATCACATTAAAACCAGTGGTGGTAAGTCCCCGAGCCCATTTCAACCTTCAAATGAAATCTCGCTTTTTATTTAGACGATCAAACCGGAAACTCGGATGTATTCCACGCTATAGAACTCGCTGCCGAAATGGCTTTCCGACCAGGAGTTGCAAAGACATTTATTTTACTACCATGCGCCGATTGCCGTCAATCAAGAAGGGTACGTTTAAAAGTATAAAAAATTTCAAGTATTTTTAAAAATGATTTACAACAATTAGTAAATAATTCGTTTCTTTCAAAGGGACATTATTTTCTAATTTGTGTCTTGTAGATGCGAAAAATATTTATGCGCCGCTTTGGAGGTCGGAAATTTTCATACAAATTAGTTTTCAGAGCGTGACTGTGCAAAACTGAGTAAGCGCAAACAATTATGCGACTCTCTAACTTTATATTTGTCGCATTTACTGCGTATCGATCCGTTTTCCATGTAGAATTTTGAAATTTTTTTGTTTGTGAGTTTAAAATTGTTTGTTTCTCGAATGAAACAGGCATTTGTCGGAGTGGACAGTACTAATTTGGGTTAAAGTATTTAATGGGGCCCACGGAAAACGGTTCGATCGGCCGATAAGGGTGCGAAAATCCACCGTAACCGCCAACAACGCGCACTATTATTTTGTAATTACTTTCAGCTCGACTATTCGATCCTACACCAGTTGCTCGACGAGAATGGCATCGCGCTGCACATATTAATGAATGAAGAAATCCGCTTCAAGAAAGCGACGCGCGCCAACAAAATCGTTTTCGGTAAGTCTGTTTCCCTCTTGAGTCTTCTTTCCAGTCTTCTCTCAAGTCCTCCCGTTTGATCGTTTTCCTTTTACCCGTTTATCTTAAACGGAGAAAGTTAATTTCGATCGACGGCAGCGTTGAATTCAAATTAGAGACAAATCTGAATTCCGTCCAGGGAGAAATTTACTTAATGTCCCGCTATCAAAGATTCCGAATAATTCTTCATCTTCTACCTATTATAACGATCAACAATTCCATTCAAACTCGTCTTTGCTTTTGTCTATCGCGCGTTCGGAACGATGCCACTGTCGGCTATGGAGCTCGATCCTAGCCTGGCAACATCCGTTCCGGGCCGATTCGTTTTCAAAATAGCCGGTCAATCTATTTTCCCCCGACGGTCCGCTCATTCGTTGTCCCATTTAAACTTGTGATGGATACAAGATTGCAAACAGCAGCGTAACCCTTGTCATTACTAGTTTAAATATGCTCTACGGTTGACGTGTGCATTACTGGGCCGATTACACTGACTCGGTTATGTTTTAACGACTACCCGTTCGTCCGACCCACACACAGAAACTTCTAAAGAGGCGACCATTCGCCTACCGTTCACCGCTCGTTCCCATTTCATTTGCGTTGTCTGTAGTTATCGTCGTTTGGGTTTGCGTACCCCTAGGACTCAAACAACTCTGTTTCGTTTTTCTCTCACAATACTCCACCTGTATTATCTTTTTTAAAAAACAAACTACATTTTATTTTATTTAAACAGCATATTTACCACTATCTTACTCAATAACCTTTCAGAATAATCTTCCACAAAAACGATAAACATCTATTTTATATATTTCTTTATCACTAAAAATATAATAAGTATACAAGATCAGCACCTCGGTTTCAAGCGACCTCAGTCTCAAGAGCACTCTTATGTTTGATGGGTGACATGGATCGTAAAATTACATTTGCAGCGCCTCGTTATAAGCCACCTTGTTATTCTCACAATTCTTTCTTCTATTATGATCGATGTGCTTATTCCACTTTTTCTTTCTGTTTAATAACCGAATTAATTATAATTATTAATGTTATCTATCCTGTATGTTTGTCTGATGATCCCTAGTCTGATGTCTGAGGCCTTCTTTCACCATCCATTAGTGTTTCGCAGCTATTCTACGCACTATTTTTATATCTGTAGTTCCTAATACACTGTTGGAAATAATTCACGAGCACACCCAGTATAATCTGAACGCGTGTGTCTACCGCAATGAAATTTGGTAGGGAAGTAGTACTAAAGTAGTGTAACTTACCCTCACATGGAGATAGGCGCAAGTCTGCTGGGAGGACATACATCAATAGCGAGAGTATTTCCCGTGAGCGGAGCGTACCATCGCTACACGACGTGGCATGGAGTCGATAAGTCGCTGTATTGTAGCGGGAGGGATGGCCAACCATGCCACCTCAACTCGCCTCCATAGCTACTCAACGGTAGCCAGGGAAGCCGAATAACGTTGAAGTCTCCGAGCAATCATGTCCCAAACATGTTCGATCGGATTCAGATCCGAAGAACGAGCTGGCTATGGAAGCATTCGTATACGGTGCTCTTCCAGAAAGGTCTGTACAACATGCGCGATTGGGCCTTATCGTGCATGTATAGCAGACGTGGGTGCCGCCGTACAAAGGGAAGCACAACGGGCCGTAGCACCTGATCTACGTATCGTTGACCCGTCATCGTCTGCTGTACACGCAGTAGACGTGTATAGTCAGAAAAAAAAGAGATGCGTCGACATTTTTTCGTATAGGCCGTCCAAATTACACAAAATCCCATATACAGTATGTAAAATGCCATATGTAATCGCACCTCATACCATAACGCTCGGTTGGCGGTGGATAGGGCTTTTTTGCACGCACTGCTCGAGTGGATCTTGATTCGTCGGCAAACAAAATGTCCCTCTACTCGGCAACCCACCGATGTCTAGCGTCGACCCACTCGTGACGTATGCGGCGGTGCTCGTATGCGCTACCAGTTCGTGTAGTGAGTGCGCCTTCCCTTCCCGCTGGCCAAACAGCTCCAAGTTGCCTTGAGGAGGACGTACGCGACGCTAAAGTGCTGAGCACAAGGGCGCGATCCTTCCGTGCTGTGGTCAAGCGGGGCAGTCCCGGCCGCGGTATGTCCTAGCTCAGACAATTCTCGCCATGCCCGCTGCACTGCCGATAACGACCGCAATGTGCATACCCACAACCATTCCTCCTCGCACAAACTTGCTTAAGTAACGCGATCGCCCTTGCATTGCGCACAGAGTACGACAACAAACTGTTCCCTCACACCACACTAAAAAAGACCGGCATCTCCCACCCTCTTCGGGCTCCATAACGACGCAATGTTCCGCTTGGAAGGACAGCTCAGTCAACAATGCCATTACAAAAAAACTCGAAACTCGCTGAATAAACTCGTCTACAGTAAACCTTTATGCTCCGGAAATATTATGGATTTATCTTCACGCGTTCAGATTATACAGGGTGTGCTCGTGAATTATTTCCAACAGTGTATATCGTCATAGGATTCCAAAAAATTAACCATTTATTACCATTATTAACCATAGTCATATGTTGCCGAAATATAATAAGAAATATGACGTTCAACCATCGATAACTGCCTCATAGACGTATGATTGAACTCCGACATATTGGATGTAAGATCATTGAAAGATGCAAACCATGATTCGGATCATTTCCTAATAAGGGCGAAAGTAAGAGCCCGAATATCAAATGTCAAAAACGGCAAGACTCGCCAACAAAAGAAATTTTATACAGCAAGACTAAAAGAGGAAGCACTGGCGTAAAGATACGTAGGAAAAATATGGCTCATAAGAACTCCACATTGACCAGAGATGGGATAGAGGTACTAATAGAGGATTACTATGTAAAGATGGCATGGAGGAAATTACTAACATCCCTGAGACGTTCCCAAGAGTACCACAAGAAGAAAAAACATCATTCGAGGAAGTCGAGGCTGCAACAAAAAATAACAACAGTCCACGTTCAGACGAGATAATGGCCGAACTGATTAAAGGATTGAATACCTCTATGTTCCATTCTGTTGGAAGTATCTACCCGTTACATAAAAAAGGGAGTCAATTGGATTACTGAAATTACAGCGTCATTGCCTTGCTCAACGTAATCCTGTAGCACTTCGTTAAATGCTAACGACGATACTGGGAGGAAGAATGACGAACTACCAAGCACGGGAATACAAGATGGATACATATCACCTGCTCAAAGTCTTCAGGGCTGCATGTGATAACATAGAAGCAAACTAATAAAAGCAATGATTAGTCAAAATTCTGAGATACGCAGATGATATGGATATAATAGGCAGAACCATTGCAGCGACGAAGGAAACCTTCAAGAGTATAAAGCGGAAGGCTGTGGAGATGGGTTTCACAATAAATGAAGCAAACAAACAATATACACGGCGGAAGTAGATGGGAGGAGACGAATACGTCAATATCTAACAATAAGAATAGCTCATAAACAATGAAAATAATATGGGAGAGGAAGTACAAAGAATCGGTCTCTAACAAACACATGTTACTATGGGTTACACAAACAAATATCCTCATATCTCTAGATATGTCGATTTTGGACTCATTTTACAGACTAAACATGTTTGAAGGAGAAATACTCCGTAAAATATATGGAGGAGTGAAAGAGGAATGATACTGGAGAGGATGATATAATAGTTAATTTGTATAAAAATTGCCACGTAATGACGCGTGACGAAGCAGATCCGATTAGGCATATCAACCAGCAAAAGCAAGTGGGAGAAAAAGCAGTGGGGAGACTGAGAAAGAGATGGGCCGAAGGGTTGGAGAGAAACGCGAGAAGGAGAATAATAATGTATATTTATTAACCCCATTACATGCAAAAAGAATTACAAAAAAGAAACTACAAAATATAAACAATAAAAAGTAATATAATCAAACAAAATATCAATTAAACTAAATTTGGAGCTAAAAAGGACCAAGTCATTTAAGCAAGAATGCTAAATTGTTTTTCATTGGCCCTTGAATATAAAAAAAATATATATAATACATCATAATCATGAATCAGTACCCAAACCAGCACCAAGTCAATTGTCATAGAGTCAACTCAGAAAATCTTGAATCCGCGCTCATTCTTCAGCCTCATCGGAATAGGAATGTTGTTATAAATGTTAGGCACACAGTATGAAAAAGCTCGCTCAAACAATTGAAGCCGGTGCTTTGGTATTGTTAACGTATACCTGTGTCTAACATTTACATTATGAACATCAGTACGATAACTAATTTTGTTATATAAATAAGGAGGAGTCTTGTAAATAAGTATTTTGTGATACAAACAAGCACAGTGTAAAATTCTCCGTCGTGACATATCTAGCCCGTCTTCTGATTCCAAATATAAAACGAAGGCAAGAGTTCTGTACCCGTTGAATTCGAATTCTGTCCGCAGCATCAATGCAAGAATGGTAAAGCGGATCTTGATGTAAAAGGTTTTTGTTGGAATACAATAGCTTGAGGGTGGAATAAGCCCGCTGAAGAAGACTTCTGACATGACTTCTAAATCGCAAATCAGAGTACAGCGCAACACCTAAATTACGTACTACATCTGAAAATTGAAGTCGTTGGTTGTTAATAAGTATATTTAAGGACTGCCTCACGTTATTCGCCTGCAACTCTCCTTCGAAGACGATAACAGAGGATTTTAATGCATTTATAGATAAACAATGGCGCCTGGCGTTCTGAAGCAATAATTCAAGATCAGAATTAATTCGAAGTTCGGACATGCCCAAGTCTCTCCCATCAAAACCGAGGTATATTTGAGTATCATCAGCATACATGTAGGTTTTGCGAAGCTTTAGATTGGAACAGAGATTAATCCTTGAGGTACACCTGAAGTAATATAACCTCTCTTCGACAAAACACCCTGAAATTTAACAATTTGCGAACGATGTAAAAAATAGTTTTTGAAAAAATCGATAGCCAACGGAA